CGCCATAGGGGCGACCGGCGCACGGTGGGGGCGGTGGCGCTCCCAGACCCGTACGCGCCCGCCGAGGCCAGGAACGGGTAAGACTGCGGGTGGTTAAGCAAACTTGCAAGCATGACTCTCAGGTCGCCGTTTTTTGATTCATTGCTTCGCCGATCGGCGCGGGCCCCTGTCCTCCCCGCCGCCACCCCTGTAGACCAGATCTTTGCTGCTTTGGGCAGCTGCTTCTGGCGAGTGGTCAGGGCCCCTCCCCCAAGTCTGCTTGCGCGACTGGTAGAAACAGATCGACTGCGCACCGACCCAGACCCAGACGCCCCCTCCCCCACCCTTCGGCCAAATGTCGAAACCCAGAAAAAGGAAACGCCTACCAGCTACCTTTTTGCGTACCGCAGCGCACGCGCTCGGGAATACCGCAGCCCCTCTGGCCCACGAGAGGACCCAGTGTCCGAAACGCGTCGCCATCAGCGAAGATCGGGCGAGATCGGAATTACACCAAGCAGCTAGAGCCCGTGGAGATAGTTACGTCGCCATCGCTCTGCGCCCTAGGGCTGGGATAGTGAGTCTGCTTCGGACCACCCTGGGGGCCTGTTGTGGGCGGCCAGGACTACCTGTGGGGGCTGGCTGTGCGCAGCCGGAAGCCTTGCAAGAGGGAGGGGAGGGGGAGGGCATGAGGAGAGGAGGGAGAGGTTACGAGGCGTTTGCATTTTTGTATGTCTGCAATCTTTGTGGCCCGGGAGAGGGTCGGCACCCCTTCAAGCAGCTAGAGTATGGCGGGAAGGCCTCCTCCTCCTCCTCCTTCCCCCCCTCCTCCTCCTGCCCCTCCTCTTCCTCTTCCTCTTCTCCTCCTCCTCCTCCTCCTATTCCTCCTCCTCGCTCCTCCTCCACTTCCTCACCCCCCCCTTTCCTCTGCGCGCCCAGATTTGCCATGGGCGTGTCGCATCTGCCTCAGGAAAGCCTTTCTCGGATATGATTTGGGTGCTGGTCGGGAGCGCCCACAGATTTGCTATGGGCTTTGAGACTCACTCTCTCTCAGGAGAGGCTCTCTCGGATATCATTCGAGTGCTGACCAGTATTGATGGGAGGAACCACCTTCATCGTTTTTGGTCTTCAGCGATCAGTGTATTCAGCGATCAGTGTAGCCAGCGGAGCAAGTTTTGTTTTGCGAGCTTGCAGGCCCATCACGGCTTGAAGACACATTCTGCCTCGTAGTTCCTGCAAGGCGAGACCGAGGAAACTTGCACCATACCTGCTCATCCGTCCTCTCCGCCATTCTCCTCTCCTTCACAGCGGCCCGCCCCCCCCCCCCCAAAGGCTGAGCTTCATCGGTGGAGCGCCGAGCTACCTCCAGTTGACCGTCAGGCGCAGCCGAGCCCAGGCTCGCCAGGGGTCCGCTCCGCGCACCCCCGCGCGGCGTTCTGCGGCTGGGCCGCGCGGCTTGCCACCGCTGGGTGGCGCGTGGGCCTCATCACGAACAGCCACTTCTTCGTGCCCCCAGCCCGCTGCTCCTTGATGCGCCCCCTGGCGGACGAGATGCGCTCGCTGCTGGAGCGGTACGCGGCCGAGGTGGAGATGCGCGGCAAGGAGGCTGTCACCGGATTGGACTCCAGGGGGCAGGCGCTCTGTGCGCTACCCACGGGCATCGTTGGCATGCAAGCCTTCCAGCGCTTCGCCCAGAAGCTGATGCGCGAGTCCGCTTGCAGCGCAGCTGTGGACAGGCCCTTGGTTCTGCACTGGTGCGTATTCAACCCCGTTGACGCCAACGACCCCGACCGGATGCACCGTGTGCTGGCTGGCGATGAAATTTTGCGAGGCCGTTGGGTGCATGCCATCCATATCTTCCGGATCGTGCGAGACGAGTGGGAGCGTCGCGGTATGCCAGCGCCTGTGCTACGCCCGGTTACCTGCGACGATCCGCCATCAACTCCAGACGCGCGCGAGGCTGGGGATTCAGAATCATACATAAATCCCAGCCACCTTCCAGCGCATGAGGTTGGGTGTGTTAAGGTTTTTGTGAGGCGTCCCCTATCATAAACACAGGATTTTCTCATTTCGTGCCGTACGTGATGTGTGTGTGTGTTTGTGTGAGAGAGAGAGAGAGAGAGAGCATTTTTTGGCAAATATCCGCTAGTTCACGCCTGCCTGGCTAGTCGATAGCCAGGATGTTCCGGTGTCCCCGTATCTTCCTGTCGCGATGTTGTACTATCGTGGTGTCGCAGTGCCGTGGTGTCCCGGTGTCGGAGTTTCGTGGTCCTCAGTGGCGCGGTGTCGCAGTTTCGTGGTGTAATGGTGCCCAGTGTCGTCTCGGATTCTCGTGATGTCCTGGTGTGGTGTCGCGCAGTCGTGGCGTCCTGCTGTCATGGCGTCGTGGTGTCGTAGCTTTTAGGCAGGTGTCAGCTCGATCTTGAAATGCTAGCCCGAACTGATGCATTCTGCCATTCGCCCCACAGTCATTGCTCTGGCTTCGGTTTCGCTTCGCACATTTCGCATCTATCATCGGCTTTTCTCTTGTCTCAGCCAGCTCTGAGTTTTAGCTCTGGCTTTGCCCTAACCCTAGGCTTACACTCAGCTCTTAGCTAGTATGTATGATCGTCCAACTGTCGTGTTGCAATTTTTGCTGACAGCTTAGATTTGTATGTTTGCACAAGTCTGTTTAAGCTGTTGCTTTGTCTGTGCTTTGTTTGACCCCATTTTGTAGCAGCAGTTTTTTGTCCGTCTGGCAACTGCCGACCTGGTGAAGTTCACCGACTCCGGGCTCGCCACTTCATGGTCAACGTACCTATTCAAGGACATTCCCTTTACGGTCCGCGGCTTCGGCCCTCGCTGCGTCGCGGCCCTACCCGTTCAAGTCTACCTGGACCTACCATTTCATGGTCGTCGTGTACCTTCCCAAGGACTGCTCCCTGAACAAAGTCCGGCCCTGGCCACACACTGCTAGCTACGCAGCCCGCTCGCACATATTCTGCGGCATCCCTACGCCGGCTCTCATGGTCTGAGCGGGCTCCAGCCTTTTCCTCCCTCGCGCTTTGTTCTGTTTAGCCTTCGTGTCTCAATTCGCTCCCGTTGCACTTCACCGCTTGCCGCGACCGGCGTCTGTCTGTCTTGGACCACCTGATGCCCGTAGGCTTAAAAACTAGCTGCAGTTTTGGCTTTACGACCCGCCTGAGGTTGTTGCTCTTTCCTTGTGCCTTTTTTCTTCTAGCTGTAGATTTAGCGTTGCGGGGAGTCGTGGTGCTGCGCTGTTTGTGTATCGCGCTGTCTTTGTGTCATGGATTTGGCTAGACCGCAGCGTCAATGGATGTCTTGCAAAGTCAGACTTGGTTACGTCTTCAGCAGCAGAGTCTATGAGGTTATTTTGCTTCTGCTTGAGCTCTGCTCTGAGCTTACGCATCTGCCAACACCAACACCAAACCAGAGTTATCACTACAACCGAAGCCAGAGATGAGTGGTCTGAGAAACGCGAAACCTGGGCCAGAGATGAATGTCAGTTTGAAATATTGAAGACGCCTACGGCGAGTCACCGCCGCCCCCTGCCTTTTTGGAAACGCCTATGTGGCCGAACGTTGAGGCCAGAGGCCTGCCAAGCTATCGGACCATGTGTTCCCCGAATCGGTTCGGAAAGCGTTCAGGGAACACGATGGGGGAGGCTGGGCCGACTTGGGCCTTTCTCGGGGTGCTCCAGGGCCGTCTTGGAGGCTATCTTGAGCGTCTTGGAGGCCTTTTGGGCCGTCTTGGGGGCCTCTTGGGGCCGTCCTGGGGGCCTCTTGGACCGTTTTTGGGCCGTGCTGGAGACCTCTTGGGCGATCTTCGGGGCCTCTTGGGCCGTCTCGGGCCGTCGGAAGGCCGAAAAGAAGCAAATGCCAGAATCTTTCAAAAACTCGTGGGAAATCAATGATTTTGGCCTTTTCGGGCTTTCCCGGAGGCCCTCTTGGAGGGCTCTTGGGCCGTCTTGGGTCATCTTATAGGGCCATCTTCGGCCGTCTTGGTGGGCTCCTGGTCCGTCTGATACCGTCGGAAGCCGTTTGGGGGGCCTCTCTGGGCCGACTTGGGGCCCTCTTGGAATGCTCCAGGGCCGTCTTGGAGGCCATCTTGGGCGCATTAAAGGCCTCCTGAGCCGTCTTGGGGACCTCTTGGGGCCGTCTTGGGGGCCTCTTGGGCCGTTCTGGAACCAGCTTGGAGACCTCTTGGGCGACCTTTGGGGGCTCTTGGGCCGTCTCGGTCCGTCGGAAGGCCGAAAAGAAGCAAATGGCCCTCTTGGAGGCCGATGGGAAATTCGTGTTTTTGGCCTTTTCTGGCTTTCCTGGAGGCTTCTTGGGCCGTCTTTGGCCAGCTTCGAGTCAACTTCGGCCATCTTGGTGGATTCCTGGCATGTCTGACGCCGTCGGGAGCCGACTTGGGGGCCTCTATGAACCGACTTTGGGTCCTCTTGGGGCGCTTCGGGGCCGTCTTGGAGGCCATCTTGGGCGTCTTGGAGATCTCTTGGGCCGTCTTGGGGTCCTCTTGGGGCCGTCTTGGAGGCCTCTTGGGCCGTCATGGGGTCCTCTTGGAGGCCTCGTGGTCGATGGTGGGGCGATCTTGGCGGCCTCTTGGGCCGTCTTGAGCCGTCGGCATGTCGAGAAGAGGCAAATGCCCAAGTCCTTCAAAACCCAAGGCAAATCGATGATTTTGGCCTCTGCGGGCCCTCCTGGAGCACCTCTGGGAGGCCTCTTGGGCCGTATTGAGGCCTCTTGGGCCGTCTTGGGCCATCTTGAGGCTATCTTACGCCATCTTGGGTACACCTTGGGGCGTCTTGGAGGCATCTTGGGGCCATTCAGCTGTCTTGGAGGCCATCTTGGCCGTCTGGGATGCATCTTGGAGGCCGTCTTGGGCCGTCTGGACCAGGGAAAACCTTTGGGAGCCGGGTCCGGGCAAATTTTCGGCATCCTTTCGGATGGCCGGCGGGACGCGCTGGAGCCCCAGGGGGAGTTCTTTTGAAAGAGCCAACACCAAAAACGATAGGTTTCAGCACGCCAGGGACCCCTCTTGCAAGCAACAAGGGGCGGCGGATCGAAGACGCCTTCGGCGAATCACCGCCGCCCCCTGCCTTTTTGGAAGCGCCTCTGGCCGAACGTTGAGGCCAGACCTGTCAAGCTATCGGACCATGCGTTCCCCGAATCGTTTCGGAAAGCCTTCGGGAACACGATGGGCATCTTGAAGGTCATCTTGGCCGTCCTGGAGGCCATTTTGACCCTTTCGGGCCTTCTTGGAGGACGTCTTGGAGGGCTCTTGGGGCCGTATTGGGGGCCCTCTTGAGCGTCTTGGAGACCTCTTGGGCCGTCCTGGAGGCCTCTTGGGGCCGTGCCTCGGGCGATCTTTCGGCGATCTCTGGGGGCACTTGGGCCGTCTCGGGCCGTCGGAAGGCCGAAAACAAGAAAAATGCCACAACCCTTCAAGAACCTATGGTAAATCAGTGATTTTGTCCTTTGGAGGCCTCTTGGGCCGTCTTGGGCCGTCTTAGGGCCATGTTCGGCCGTCTTGATGGGCTCCTGGTCCGTCTGACGCCGTCGGAAGCCGTTTTGGGGGCCTCTCTGGACCGACTTGGGGCCCTGTTGGAATGCTCCAGGGCCGTCTTGGAGGCCATCTTGGGCGTCTTAAAGGCCTCCTGTGCTGTCTTGGGGGCCTCTTGGGGCCGTCTTGGGGCTCTTTTGGGCCGTTCTGGGGCCGTCTTGGAGGCCTCTTGGGCGATCTTTCAACGATCTTTGGGGGCTCTTGGGTCGTCTCGGGCCGTCGGAAGGCTGACAAGAAGCAAATGTCAAAATCCGTCAAAAACCAAGGGAAAAACAATGTTTCTGGCCTCTTCTTGCCTTCCTGGAGGCCCTCTTGGGGGCCTCTTGGGCCGTCTTGGGCCAGCTTCGAGCCAACTTCGGCCATCTTGGTGGGTTCCTGGCACGTCTGACGCCGTCGGGAGCCGTCTTGGGGGCCTTTCTGGGCCGACTTGGGGCCCTCTTGGGGCGCTTCGGGGCCGTCTTGGAGGCCATCTTGGGCGTCTTGGAGGCCATCTTGGGCGTGTTGGAGGCCTCTTGGGGCCCTCTTGGGGCCGTCTTGGGGCCCTCTTGGGCCGTCATGGGGCCATCTTGGAAGTCTCTTGGGCGATCCTCGGGCGACCTTCGGGGCCTCTTGGGCTGTCTTGGGCCGTCCGAGAGGCGAAAAGGCGCAAATGCCAAAATCCTTCAAAGCCAAACGAAACAATGAGTTTGACTTCTGCGGGCCTTTCTGGAGGACCTCTTGGAGGCCTCTTGGACCATCTTGGAGGCCTCTTGGGGGCCTTTTGGGCCCATCTAAGTCCGTCTTGGTTGCGTCTTGGGCCGTCTTGGAGGCATCTTGGGGTCATCTTCGCCGTCTTGGAGGCCGTCTTGGCCGTCTTGGAGGCACTTTGGAGGCCATCGTGGCCGTCTTGGATGCCATCTTGGGCGTCTTGGAGGCCATCTTGGGCGTCTTGGAGGCCTCTTGGGGCCGTCTTGGGGGCCTCTTGGGCCGTCACGGGGCCATCTTGGAGGCCTCTTGGGCGATCTTGGGGCGATCTTGGGGGTCTTTTGGGCCGTCTGGGGCCGTCGGAAAGCCGAAAAGGCGCAAATGCCAAAATCCTTCAAAAACCTACGGAAAATCAATGATTTTGCCTCTTCGGGCCTTCCTGGAGGACCTCTTGGAGGCCTCTTGGGCCGTCTTGGATGCCTCTTGGGGGCCTTTTGGGCCGTCTTGGGCCATCTTCAGACTATCTTAGGCCGTCTAGGGTACATCTTGGGCCGTCTTGGAGGCATCTTGGGGCCATCTGAGCCGTCTTGGAGGCCATCTTGGCCGTCTTGGAGGCATCTTGGCCGTCTTGGAGGCCATCTTGGGGCCGTCTGGGGCAGGAAAACCGTTTGCAACCACCTCTTCCGGGTGGCCGGCGGGACGGGCCGAAG